GCCGTCATTGTTGTTTGGCGGGTCCGGGCTGGGGATTCGAACCCGCCACCTTAGGTGTACATGGCTGGCGCCTTAGCCGGTTGAGCTATAAGCGCCGAGCCAATGTAACTTTTTCAATTAAGAATACACCTAAGAGGCTCGGGGCCTATGGCTCAAGTGGCTAAGGCACCAGCCACATACACATTAAAGTGGTTGAGTTGGAATCCAGCCCGGGCTCGCCAAAACAATGACAGCTGCAACAACAACAACAACAAAAAAAAAAAGCCGGGCGTTGTGGAGAGCGCCTGTGGTCCCAGTTACTTGGCAAGGAGTTGGAGGTTGCTGTGAGCCGTGATGCCTCGGCACTCTACCCAGGAGGACAGCTTAAGGGTATGTCTCCAAAAAAAAAAAAATACCTAGAGTATACAAAAGACATAGTTTAAAAAAGATCATCCCGGCAGCTCCTGTGGCTCAGAAGGGTAGGGCACCAGCCCCATATGCTGGAGGTGGTCGGTTCAAACCCAGCCCTGGCCAAAAACTGCAAAAAAAAAAAAAAAACATCCTCTGGTTTGGATCCCTTCTTCTCAAAGGGCACTTCTCAAAGTGAATTATGTCAAGTCAACCACCAGCATGGGCATCCCCACCCAGCACTTTAAAAAACGCAAATTCTCAGGCTCCACCCAGACTGAATTAGAAACCTTGGTGGTGGGCGGCGCCTGTGGCTCAAAGGAGTAGGGCGCCGGCAGGCCCCACGAGCTGGGAGGCCCCCACGAGCTGGGAGGCGTTCAAACCCAGCCCTGGCCAAAAAAAAACTTCAAAAAATAAAAAACAAACCCTGGTGGTAGAGACCCTAGCTATCTATTTTAACTAGCCCCTCTTGCTGATTCCTGGGTTAGCTCAAGTATGAGAACCACTGGGAAAAAACTTGAACTTTCTCATCCTTATTTATCAACTCTTTAAAATAAAAGTGCCTTGTCTTTCCAACATATGGCAGACACAAGTTAAAGTGCCAAGGCTTCAAATATTATTTTCCTAATAAAGTATAAATAATCTAGGGTGTCGCCTGTGGCTCAAAAGGGTAGGGCACTGGCCCCATATGCCAGAGGTGGCCCCATATGCCGGAGGTGGCGGGTTCAAACCCAGCCCCATCCAAAAAAAAATATATATATATATATATAAATAATCTAGTAACACTATAGCCTATCATAGTAAATGCAAAGCCTTTTTTTCCCTTTATAAACCCAAAAGTTCCAAAATCAATGATTACAGCTTCCATTATGCTACACCTAGCAGTTCTGGTTCTTGTCAAATAACCCTGTAGTAAATCTATTATGTACAAAACCAGAATAGTCCTTGTTACGAATGAGAATCAATGAGTATACATATTAAGTATAAGCAAATAATGCTCTCCAAAGACAATTATTAAAACTATTTCAAGGTATAAGTATTTCAGTTAAGGCAGCTGTTAACTATTAATTACTATTTCAGAAAACTGCTTTCAGTAGTAAAGGTATTTCTGTATACTTCTCAGCCCGTAGGCAACAACTTCAGTTCAGTAAGTCTGTCTCATTTTATAACTGTAAAACTAAAACCCAGTTTAATTTGTCTAACAGATAAAGCTCCACCTTTAACAAGCAAGGAGGATTAAAATCTATTTCTCCTGACTCCTAGACTAGCATTTTTTCCACTGTTAAATCCCTCAACATTCATCACTTAATACACATAATTAAACTTTTAGGATTAGTACAACTAGCTACTTGAGTTCATTGCTTTTTTCCTAACAGCCATTTCATCCAAAACAGGGCCAGCATACTACCTCAAAACCTCTACAGATCTAATTACAAACATAAGCTATGCTACAATTCTCTTCAGTGTGACTAGCAAACTACCATGTATTCCCCAGTGGCACATGCAATGAGAAAAATTAAGACCCGCAATTTATCTAGTCCTCCTTAAACCCTTCTTTAGCCAATATGAAAATGCTATTAATGCCTACTTAGTTTAGAACACATCTATAATTTTCTGATACTAATTCTGTGGCCAAATAGTTCCTGATAGATAGTACTGCAGAGGAATTTTTGCTCCCTTGATACATGCTGAACCCAAGGAACCAGTTCTAATGCCTCAAAAAAACAGTACCTTTAATGTCAATGCTTATCAATAACTACTCTTAAATACTAATTTCTAGCATTTCTCTTTGCCAATAATATTTTATTAAGTACAGAGTGTCCTAAAGGTCACTGTAGGAAAATCAGCATACTGTTATCGCATCTATTTTCATATATTTTTGTTTATATATCAACATGTAGATTATTTCTTTTGTAAGCATGTTGTAAAATTTCTAAGAATTAGTTTGTAAATAAAGGACCATTGAGCTACAATTACCATTTTCCCTATGTATAGAGTGACCTTTGGGACATTCAATGTATCATTTCCTAATTGATCAGTCACTGTACTGCCCTTACCTCATTTCTGACAGTTCAGCACAATGATCAACTTTAGTTTTAAGCCCATACATAACCTAAATATTTAGGCCTCCAAAAAGGAGAGGCAACGTTTTTGACCCCTATTTTACTTACTCTTGGCCTCAAAGAGTTCCTCCCACTTCAGCCTTCCC